TTAAACTTTGTATTGCATTCGTGTTTTAATTGCCTTTTATCCACTTAAGTATATTAAACATTCTTGCGTGGACAAAATACTACTTAAAATAATTATAAAAAAATAACTATAATTTATAACCATTATCAACGTCTTTAGTATGCAAATCTTAGCGTACGAATTTTGAAACTGAGGCAAAAAATTGAGTAACTTCAGTTCAAGTTCACTAAATTCAATTTAAACAACGTAGTACTTAACATTGATTTTATACATATATTTTATTAAATTTTTTTATGGTGCAAACAGCACGTAATTTTATGGGCATATAATAGCGCTACCAGCAAAGCCAACAGCGGTTGACTCGAAGACCGTTTTATTTTATTCCCAAAAACGAGTTGGGGACTGTGGAACAACAGACGGAGTCGGCGGTAAGTATCGAATCGGTATCGGCGTGTTATTTATAGGTTTACTTTAGCGGTGGGTGGCCTGGTCCAAGCCGTTGACAGATGAAAAGTATCCCCAGATCAAGGATTGGATAACTAGAATCCGGTAGCCAATTGGGCGGATGCTATGGCCGCTTAAATATGTGCATTCCATCGGAGACCTATCGTCTACGAATTACCGGCAATACTTCTTATTTATAGCCCGATGACACCTGCATTAGAGCCGAAAGCCAACGGTCATTATCGGTTGCGTGGACACAATTGGGCCTGACGTATCGTTTTCACAGAGATTCCTGGTTTAAGGAAAATCTTATCTGAGTGTGATCGGCCCAACCGTGCGCACTAAGCAGGTGCTCGAAATTGTTTAACAAAAGTCACTTGCTTTAACTGCTTCCTATCTGCCGTCGCATCTAAGGTTACATAAGTATATATCCGGTAGTGAAATTACATTTCAGTTATATTACCTCGTTATTTTTTTGTTGCTCTGAGACATCCATTCATGGTTTCTTAGTCAATGTTTATTAACATTACAAATGCCGAGATTGTTATTTGAGATAAAGCGTTTTATGGTGCTTTAATGAAATATTTTATATTCGTGGCAATAATTAAGTAGACGAAATTTCATAAAAATAATAAAGGAACATCACGGAAACACTTAGGTACGCACTTAAAAATAAAAACACCACAAGACCGATTAATTTAGAATATAAAAGAAATATGAGCTCGCACCACAAAACCATTGATGAAAATTACCAGTAATTAGAAGATGTTCTAAGAAAACGTTCATTGCAATTTATAAGTGACCGTAAGAAATGACAATTTATAATTATATCTACAGGGTGATTCAAGTTTAATCTGGATAACTTCAGGAATTGATAGAACAGGTTCAAATAATGTTCATTCGTGATATAAACTTATTTCCTAAATCGCATCGTTTGGGAGATTTTTTCCCCTTTTCTTAGCACTAAAAATAATTATACTTTTAACGATAATTTTCACAAACGTCAGTTTATACAAATCATTGTGAGTTTTGTTTTTCATGGGTTGCTATAACGTTATGAAGTTTACGCGGCTGGGACTTTACACTGTAATGGACTTCATTGAATATCTCAGGATAAAATATCGACAAAAACAAGAGACGAAAAAGTTTCAAAATTAATGAGACAAAAGTATTGTGCAGCTGTTTTATTGAAATTAATTAATTTTTTTGAAATTTTAAAATAAAGTAGGAGGGGGATAGCACAAAAAATACACTTCTAAGAGGGGCAGGTGGTTCAAACTTAAAAAGCTTATGTAAGATCATATGGAGTGTTTGTGTTCCGAATTTTACCTCAATCGGATGAGTGGTTCAAAAGTCATAAGGGAAAAGCGGAAAAAAACAATTTCAACGCCCTCTATCTCCGAAACGATGCGATTTTGGAAAAAAGTTTATACCATGTATGAACATTATTTTAACTTGTTCTACAGATTCTTGAAGTTATCCAGATTAAACATGAATTACCCTGTATCTGCAGAGTAAATTTTAATGAAAATAATAGGGCATTTTTTAAAATAGATTATAATTATTGCGAATAGCATCTGAAATATTTAAAACTAAATAAAACTATGTTATAAAAACATTGAAATCAATTTCAATCTTGAAATAATTCCAATAAAAATTGACTTACTTTTCAACACTGGGGAAAACTGCTGATTGCAAAACTTTGAAACTAAAATTAACATTTTCTTATTTCAAAATAAAATTTTAAGGAAGCAAATTTGAACAATTAATTTGATTTAAATTGCCTTCATCCAAAGAAGATACTTGAAGTAGACGTCTTCATATACAAGATAAATACTGATTAAGCAACCATTATTAGGGGATTTTATTAAAAATCTGACTATGTAATCTTAATTCAGCACCAGTATAGGTTAGACAGTTAGAATGAAAAATTAACCAATTACTGACATTGCTGATGATAATGATAATGAGTAAAGAATAGAGTCTGATTATAAGTTACTTTCAGAATTTTAGGTCCATAAGTGGACTCTATTATTTACCAAGTATTACTAGCAATGCCAGTAACTTAGTAATTTTTTAGCCTCAAGCAAAAGCAATGCCTCCTGGATTTCACACTGAAACCGAAACAACAAATTCAAAACTTTAACACTGAAGGAAATCGGCTAATAAGAGAATTTTGCTAGAATGATTTGTATTATAATAGAATTTTTTTATTAATGTTTTAGGTATCATATGCCGAAATTAAATAAATTATTTTGCTAACACGATTTTACTACCTTAAGTCGCTGCTCACTAGTAGAAGAAGACACCTTCTTATGCTGAATTATTTCTAGCATTTCTTTCACTAAAGGTAATTATGTAGATAATAATTTATTGCCCTTTAGTTGAGGCGTACTTATTAAGGGTCAAAAATAATCTACAATGATAAAAGTAAAAAATTTTTAACTGTAGCTACAACAGAAGTGAGTGAATGTTACTCAAATCTGAGTTTCTGCAAACTATCAAGTGAGTGACTTTTGACTCTATTATGAGTATGTGAAACCAATTAAGAGTTCAGTTTTTCACTAAATTCAACTATTATTTAGTAATGTTTTACTCAGACTTGGTTTATATTCTTTATAAATTTTAATTTAAATGTCTTTGTATCAAAGTCATAAACTAATAAGCTGCCACAGTGGTTTCTACATAGATCTGTTTTAGAGACAATATTTTAGGTCTCGATTAAAAGAATTGGTTAACTGACCGGAAGGATAGATCGCCATAACCTATAATGTACGTTACAGATACTTAAGCAAGTATAGGTAACAATGTAACCATCCGCTTTTTAAACCAAATAGTAATCGAGACTCAATGTATCATTGTTTTTAATTATTGCAATCAAACCACCGCATTTAAACACAATTGTCACTAAAATAACCGAATAAACAGACACTTGTCCAGCAAGCACTACACGCCATACACCACGCCACGAAATGAGCTAATGGGGACGATGGGAATAGACAAAGACAACGCACGACAGCCATAGAATAGGGTTGGGTCACTCAATAGTAAAGACATTTACAGACAATGCATATGGATATGGAAAAGGGTGGGATCACTCAGTATTGAGGGTAACAACCCTGCTTTTATACAAGTGTACCAAATACGAGTTTATCTTGTGATTTTATTCAACGGGTACCTATATTTAAGTAAAAGTACTCAGTTTTAGTTCAAATATTATCACAAAAGGGTAAAATTACCAAATTTCTCAATATTGAGTGAAAATTTACTCAGTCCTTTTACTCAATCGATTCACTCCATACCTCTATTACTTTCACTCACTTTTTTGTAGTGTCTATAGTACCAGTGTCTGTAGTGTTAATAATTTATTAACCTTGGCTTAAAAAGTTAGAATTAAAAAGCGAGGTATGGTAAGGCTGTCTAATTATGGATATCTACCTGTATGTAACTTTTTAATTATGAAGGGAAAGTTTAAAGATAGAAAAAGTCAGTAATTGAATTTAGCTAAGTGCACATAGTTATGGCAAAAAAGTAAATTATTGCTAGTGTTGTCATAAAATTAGTCAATTCAGCGTCAAACCAGCAACGACGATAAAAAAATTTGGTTTCCTTTGAGGATATTTCCCATTTTGAGTAATTAACAAAAAGATCCGCGTTGCCTTTGCGTTGACTTATTATCAGTATGTTTGAATTAATTCTTGTGAATCGCCACGTAACATAAAAATACTTGAATCATTTCTACAATCCGCTAAATTATTTAGAATGTATGTATGGTCGTGTACGAAATAAGACGTAGGTGTGCATTAATTATATTTATTCAGAACTGCGTACGCTAGATTGAAGAACCCTTGAACTATGGCGGGCGGTACGGGTCTCTCACGCCGCTTCGTGCAGTACGGAGTTCGATAACAACCCCTAGAGACGTGCTCGAGAGCACTAAGCACAAACACTGTGTTACGCTAGAATCGTACCCTCATTCGGATTTGGTCAATAACGCTGAAGAGTTTCTTTACCTTGTGCGCATATTGTTACCTAAATGTACGCGTAGTATTTGCAAATAATACTAATGGAACATGTTATTGTACGTAGGTTTTTAGTAATGAATAAACAGAATATATTTGGGTATGCATTTCAGTTATTGTTTGCTCAGTGTTCCCCCCTATGGGGTGATTGGTTTTTCGAAGGTTTTATTTCACCGGCACTAAAGTGCATTGAAAGGACTGAAATAATTACAACTACTAACTGATAACATTGATAACAATTTGTGGGAATTTTATAATAATGCACAAGTAGAAATATTTTTTAATATTTCAGGATCAGGCTTTAACGTATCTCAACAGGTTGTTGGCATTTTTATAGCCATCATTTTAGACTAATTGTTTATTTGTTCAATGAGTATTTCAGATAAATCACTTCATTGAGAAAGTATAATCTGATTAATTATGTACTGTGGACGTTTTGGTCATACCTAATCAATTTTGTCAGTAGAATATCCACATATCTATGTAACACATTCATAAATCCGGATTCAGTTCAGTTACTACATACATCTTAGAAAAAATTGTTTACTCGCTTACCTAGGGTGGTGGCAGCCATCCTCATGGTAACAGGTATTTCGCCACAAGGCGAACCTTCCTCAGGAGTTATTTTCCTCTTTCGAGGTCTTCCTTTATGGTGTTGGGGTGGAGTGTTCGAAGAATAGTATCCAGGTGATTCCCCTCCCCTGAACATTATATCCATCGGGTCGTTCGAGTCACAGAAGTCCAAGGTTTCGTAATGGGGCCTATAACAAAAACTACTGAAGTTATAAGTACTGTATTCCTTGGCTTATTCCTTCCTAGACTGTCCACAAAGTTATTGGGTCTTTAAAACTAATTCCAAGCTATAGATCGAAATTTGACATTATATCTAACCTGTACACTATTGCCATCAGGAAATAAGTTTATTTGTTCACAGAAGATATACATTACATATCTGGAAGTGGTGAAGCCTTTGAAATAATTGAATTAAACATCAACCTTAATAATTCACCTGGATGTTTAAGATAATTGGAAGATACCATAATATGATCATATGGAACCCATTTTAAAGATAAGATGTTACAAAATGATTACTAACTTCCAGAATCCAGGAGAATGGAAGTTCATATATGGAAAAATGGAGCCTAGTTTGGTTTACAGATTGCTGAAAAGAGGCAGTGAAATAATAGCAGGAGTAGGTAGTGTATTTCTAGTAAAACTTTTCGTTATGCATGTTTGTGACAAAGCATAAGAAAAATAAAGTATTAATAGTGGTTGGTATAGGTAGGTGTTGTAACCAAGTGTGTTCAAGTTCACAAAAAGAAAAGTATATTGAAGAAATCTTCACGGTAGAGAGATGTCAAAAAAATAGCGGAATAACCTAACATCCCATGCGTTTGCGACTAGCTTTGGTAAAAAGTAAATATCCAATTTTCCTACTCTATCGATATAAAATTGATGCAGTAAAAATGTATCACTTTATCACAGGTTTATCACTTCCATAAATTCTTAGCTGATCATAGGAGGGAGATGTCATAGAAGAGTTCATCGCATTCAGAGGCAGTGATTATTTTGCTTTAGAAATAAAAATAATGTTTATTTTCTTCTTCTTTCAACATTTTCTTGGCAAAAATAATTATTGTTTATTACGGGACTCACTTTATACATTAATAAAGTTTACTTTGAGCAACTTGTATCAAAAGTCGATGGCTTAGAACCACAATAACTTTCTGGACCTTTAACATTTTAGGTAAAATTAATTACCTGCAATATATTAAACCTTCCCTCATGCCAAAATGGTCGCCTTTTGATAAGGGAATTCCACAGGATGTGCAGGAAAAACAGTGTAGGTGGTATACAAGGTCCCTTGCCCGCATTACTAATTCATTGGCGGAGATTCCTGCGTGGCACCGACCACATCTTGTAACGGCAAACATTCTGTAAAAAAATATTACCATATTTCGTTTTGTCTTCCATCTCTGTGTGTGGATATAATAGTTTGAAATCTTATTTATTTCAACGAATTACTACTAATTACTAAGTACCTATATTTTGAAAAAAAAATCAAATTATAGTTATAAAAAATACAGGTAGCATGAAAGTACTAATTAAATCCGATTAAAAAAGTAGTTAAACATCATTAATTTTTAATGACTGCTTTTAAATTAATGATGTGAAAAGTTTAAATTACATATATTTTTACTTAAGTATTAATGTCGTTCTTCTGGAATGTAAATAGAGCAAACGATTTTACTTATTCCACCAAATTTTCAGAAAGGTATTAAAATACGGTGAATACCCTATTAAGAAATTGGTCCTTGCCTAAATATATGATAAATATGTTATTTGGGCCATACTTAAAGAGTTACCTTGAGTGAACCGATTTAACTAAATTATCTTTGTATAATTTTGATTTTTTTAAATGTTACCTGAAAGAAATTTGCTTAGTTCGATTTTTTTATGACAACTCCGTCACCTTTTCTAACATTTTAATAAAACTTGGATAGCCAAATATGAATATATGTTTCATAAATTTCTTTTTTACCGGAAATGTAGAGGTCACTAAGAGCAATCTAAACAGCCATTTACTATTGGATATATTTATATGTTGGTAGAGGCTTTGAAAAAACGCATGTATTCGCAGGGATTATATTAATNGTGGTTAGGGCCTACCAACATAAGTCGTTCCTGGGCGCAAATGCGGCCTGCGTAATAATAATATGCCGCCTCCTCTCCCGCACAAGTCTCCGACTTCTGGGCTAACTCTCGTAGTTAGAACGAGGAGTAGAGATATTATTATTATATTATACAGGAGTATATTAATAAATCGACAGTGAAATAAATTTTTCAAATAACATTCTATCTGCTTTCCACATTTTATATTACATAAGTTACACAACATGTACCTTTTGTTGTCAATAAACTGTACTACTACTACAAGAAAAATTATTTAGTAGCCTTTTATACCTTCTAATAGGAACAAGTCGGCTTACCGAATATACAGACAATAGGGCAAAATTGGCAACAATACTTTTGGATTATTCAGAAAATTTATAAAAAGGAAGAATTAATAGTGGTTGATGTGGTTAGGTTTTGTTACTAAGTTTGTTCAAGTTCACAGAAAGAAAAGCATAGTTAGGATAATCCACTATGGTGAAGGAATCTTCACAGTAGAGAGATGTCAGGAAAATAGCAGAATTTACCTAAGATTTCACGCATCTGCGACTGGCTTTCGTCTCTGTCAGAGGCAGTGAATGTTTTGTTTCAGAAATAAAAAAAAACATTTCCCTTGGCAGACATAATTATTGATTCTAATAGAACTCTCGTTATACATTAATAAAGCTTACTTTGAGTTACTTCTATCAAAAGCCGATGGATCAGAACCACAATAACTTTCTGGACCTTTAACATTTTAGGTAAAATTAATTACCTGCAATATATTAAACCTTCCCTCATGCCAAAATGGTCGCCTTTTGATAAGGGAATTCCACAGGATGTGCAGGAAAAACAGTGTAGGTGGTATACAAGGTCCCTTGCCCGCATTACTAACTCATTGGCGGAGATTCCTGCGTGGCACCGACCACATCTTGTAACGGCAAACATTCTGTAAAAAAATATTACCATATTTCGTTTTGTCTTCCATCTCTGTGTGTGGATATAATAGTTTGAAATCTTATTTATTTCAACGAATTACTACTAATTACTAAGTACCTATATTTTGAAAAAAAAATCAAATTATAGTTATAAAAAATACAGGTAGCATGAAAGTACTAATTAAATCCGATTAAAAAAGTAGTTAAACATCATTAATTTTTAATGACTGCTTTTAAATTAATGATGTGAAAAGTTTAAATTACATATATTTTTACTTAAGTATTAATGTCGTTCTTCTGGAATGTAAATAGAGCAAACGATTTTACTTATTCCACCAAATTTTCAGAAAGGTATTAAAATACGGTGAATACCCTATTAAGAAATTGGTCCTTGCCTAAATATATGATAAATATGTTATTTGGGCCATACTTAAAGAGTTACCTTGAGTGAACCTATTTAACTAAATTATCTTTGTATAATTTTGATTTTTTAAAATGTTACTTGAAAGAAATTTGCTTAGTTCAATTTTTTTATGACAACTCCGTCACCTTTTCTTACATTTTAATAAATCTTGTATATCCAAATATGAATATGTTTCATAAATTTCTTTTTTACCGGAAATGTAGAGGTCACTAAGACCAACCTAAACAGTCATTTACAGTTGGATATATTTATATGTTGGTAGAGGCTTTGAAAAAAACGCATGTATTGCAGGGATTATATTAATTAAATTAGCTAACTAAATTAACTAAAAAATATCTAATTCAGTTATAAAGTTAGCCAAAAAAACCGAAGTTGAACATCCCCAAATATTTGCATATAAAACAAATGTTATTGTAGTCGGGTTACAAAAATCCCCGTTCTCAAAATCGTTACCAAAACTGTTTGATTTATTTTGAGTGACCACCATGTTTTAGGTAAAAAGCAAATTATATTCTTATTTGATTACATGCGTCAAAAACTCCTGGTATACTAAATTTCTTTGAAATATCTTAAAAAGTTAAAGAAAAAATATTTGGAAACTCATAACTCAAAACTATACTAAGGTGCCTTGGCTGGATCGATTTATTTTCACCTTTAACGTATGACCCATTTCCGACAGAGACCAAAATTTCACTCAAATTTCACTCAATTTTACTCGATAATGTATCAATTTCTGTCCACACTCGAATGAGTGAAAGTTTCACTATATTAATATGAGTACAACTGAGTAAAACTATTGTATCAGAAATGAGTGAGTTTTACTCAAATCCAAATTATTGCTAGCTATCAATTGAGTGACTTCTGACACTATTCTGAGTATATAAAACCAATTTAGAGTTTATACATAGATCTGTTTTAGAGACAATATTTTAGGACTCGATTAAAGGAATTGGTTAACTGATCGGACGAATAGATTGCCATAATCTATATTGTACCTATATTTGAGTGAAAGCACTCAGTTTTAATTTAAATATAATCACAAATGAGTAAAACGATCAAAATTCCCAATATTGAGTGAAAATGTACTCGATAATTTCACTCAATGGATTCAATCACAACCTTTATTGCTTTCACTCATACCGATTTTTTTATAGTTTATGTACAAATGTACTATTTTTTATAAAATTGAAACTACTTTTTATATATTTAAGACACAATCCCCCTTTAAAGAGGACTCTTATTATCCATTTCTTGAAAAATGTTTATATAAAAGATTTTATTTATCTTTTATGTTATATCTTGTCCTGGAAATATCGGAAGACCATTTCGGACCACCCTGTATAATGTTCTTTTTTCATCTATATTAATTTTACTTCAAAATAGTAATTGTGTTACAAAATTAAGTTATACAATTTATTATTGCAACAAAACTTTACTTAGTAGTAACAGTCTTTATACTAGTAATTATTTATACAAATATAAATTTACTTCACTTTTTATTTTATTTGTATTTGACACTGTGAATCTCTTCCTTGGATCTCTTGTTGATTTTATAAGATCTCAAATAGTCGCTACCGACAATACCAAAGCAGAATTCCAATGCATTTCAATTTTATTAAAAAAGCACCAAGACGAAATGTTTGTTGCTTTGCATTGAGAAGTCTACAGCTCTTTCTGATCGGCTGTCCATCAAGAACTTGCACTACTTTATAAACTTTATATGCGCAACAAAGTTGGTCTTTTTTGCCTTTCCATAAACCGGTATACCCAGTTTATTTTGATTTATATCTCCTTGGGATTCCGATACGTACATATATCTATAACCATTGCGAAAATCTAGTTGATTTAACTGAACAAAGAGACAGTTTTTTTAATTTGAAAAGGTATATGAATGTATTGCGCTTAATGTAATATTATTCATATAAATGAGAGCAATGACGTGAATTAAAATTCATTTACTACAGTTTTATATTTTATTTCAATTTTTCTTGTTAGAAATATTTGTTTCAATTCGTGTTAGTCAAACAGTATTTAGGGCTTAATGGTAAATGTAGAAGACAATATAACAAAAACAAAATTTAAAGTAAACTTGTAAAAACTTAAAAATGTTTTCAAGTTCAACATATTTAATGATTGTATCGTACTGGACAACATTACAACAAATTGCAGAATTAGGTTATAAAATAATGTTCCATATTGACACTCAAGGTCTAAGAGTGAAGAAAAATAAAAAATAATGGTGATCCTGATCTATTATTTATATTATGTTATGTAACATATTACAATTTTCTGTTTTGAATAACCTTTTAACAATGCTGTAACGATCCAAGAATACAACAAATATTTCTCAAAAAGTATTTACTTACAGCTTCTTCAATGAAATCACACATAAATCATATTTTAGTGTACTGTGGCGTTTGATAATTTGGTATATTCATCTTCTTCTACAGACATAACCGTGTTTTGAACTCTTCTTAAATGGTCTTCATATATAACAAGCATATTTTATCTCTCATCTACGCAAATCAGGAATGCCAAGGACATTTTTAAATTTATCAGCGAAACTTGTTTTTCACAATATTTTAATATTAACCACATGCAACACTGCAGAAGTCTGCACATCCAGTGAACATCTACTACTTCCACTCTTACTATAAAGTAGATGAATACACGAAGAAGTAGTAAAGAAAATACAGTCCCACTGGGTATAAGTATATTCAATGATTTGACATTTTGAGAAAAATTATAGTACACTTTTGGCAACTTAAACATTGAATTTAAGGTAGATGTGCCACAATTTCGTAGGAAAATTTAACGGTGTGCTATGAAGTGGTAAGAGCTGATTATCCAGATCAGAAATAGAAAGAATATCCATGAAAATTGATTAAAACAAATGACAATATAAAAGCTGACTAATTTAACTCTAGCAATGATAATATGTTGCATTTTGAATTACTTTTAAAGAAAATTAATTAATTAAATAATTAAAGGAAACATTTAAAATTGTCATTATTATTGATTTTAATTTGCCTTTATATATTAATCTGTAAAAATTAATTTTATGCCCTCAGATGTTAAAAATATTAATATGTCATCTACATAAATTCCAAAACATGGAAAAAACATGGTCCATGGTTCTTTGGGACACTGAAGTAACATTTCTAAAACCTAAAGGAATTCTGAGAAACTCATAATGTCCATTATCTATCATATTTTGTTAGCAAATCAGCAGTCATATAAATATAGTATGAATTTTTATTTTGTCAAAAATGCAGAAGGAAACATGGTAATAAATTGGTGGTGCAAGATTTTTGTATCTTCGTACAGCGAGGCAATTACCTACTAAAAACTGTTGAAGAAAATATACTAAATATTTTTATTTTTCATTTTCAAAAAAGAGAAAAATCATAGCTTTCAGTTTCTATTATTTAGAATTTATCAAAAAAATATGTTATGTTTTAGATGGGCCATCTGTAAAGGTCATATCGTTGTCAGTGAATATCGGAGAACTGACTCCTACTGTTAAAAAAATAAATATCGATTCTGTTAGTGACAATAATGTTTCAGTTTTTCCTTTTACTGAAGATTCTTCAAAGGTGACTATAACACTGAAATTTTGGAAAAACAATAAAGTAAAATTGGATTATAGATATAAAAAAATGAAAACACGTCGAAATAAGAAAAATAATGTATGATGAAAGGAAGAAAAACGAAATAAATTGTCTCTTAGACAAAAATTTAGTATTTATTATAATTTTCCACTTAAAATTAGGATAAATTTGCTTACTACTGCTACATTACATCAACAAGGGTCATCTTTGATATAACTAGTATTATTTTTTTTAAGTGGATGTTGAGGAAGATAGCTAAATGTGTTTTTTAATTACTAAATAAATTAACATTTATAATAAGTGTTTATTGATGTTAGAAGTAATTTATAAAAAAATTTTTCTGTGAAGAAATGCAGCTTAACAATACGAGGCGTCTATCCACGACTTGCTGATTTGTTCCCTGTGTTTCATACATATTTTTTAATTTTAAAATTAATGCTAAACACCTCTTATTTCCCTTCGTGAGCATGTTTCCTTTCCTCGTAAAAAAAGTTACGCCTCAAGGGGACCGCTGTAAAAAGTCAAAACCGCAAGCGTTTGAACCTCGACTCTGTACCTTGTATACGTTTCATTACCCCCGGGATCGATTAGGTGATCCTCCACGAATTTAATGCTGCAACGTCAAATGCCAACGAATAACAGCGGACAGGTTCAGTGAAGCTAAGTTGTCGCCTAACGAGGGCGAGAGCCCGCGTTGTACCTAACAAAGCATATTAATAAAGGCCATAACAAAAATGGACGTGTTTGTCCAATTTGTCGAGATATAAATGAATCGGGCCGGGCGGGACTCTCGATTGATTCCCCGATAATGTTTGTCACTATTAACATACCTTATCTGCATGTGTCATAACATTATAAAAGTACAATTAGTGATGAGTCTATTGAGTTGAAGTTTGTGGGTTATTTAATGATGTGACGGGAACTGATTTTCGTTAATTATATGTTGGAACGAACGCATGGTTGTTAAATATAAAAA